AGAAGTAAAGAAAGAGAAATGAAGAAAGGAGAGGAGAGAGAAGGTTAATCAAGAGAGTTGAGGAGAGAAGAAAAGAAAGAGAAATGAAGGAAAGGAAAGAGGATCGAACATGTAAGGAAAAGGAAAATGGTGACGAGAATGCTTTCTGTTTGCCGGCGATATTGTGTCTTCCAGCAGTTGCTAGCCCTTCTCTCAACTTCCTCCGCAAGTCCTCCAACCAAAACTGTGTCCTCGCGCAGGCCTGGCTCCTTTTGCGCTGTGCGCTTGTTTCCACTTGGCCATTGAAGCTAGCATCGTGTCGTCTTGGCCGGTCTCGTTGCTGTCCGACTGAGGCGAGGACGCCGTCTGTCGTCGAGGCTGGAAGTGAAAAAACCCAGCTCTTTTTGATGCAAGGCGTGGGGGACGGGCAAGTGGTCAGATCGCGTTTTGCCGCCGTTCGGCTTGGGCAAAATGCCGCCATGTTGCCTTAAATGTCCGCTCGAGGGTTGTTGGGTCACGCAAATCCGACTGACCGCCACTGGCTTTGCCAATGCCACAACCGTCCGGCTCCTCGGACAGCCGAACTCCCCAACTTCGAAGCCCCGCGCGATATTTTACATCTTTCCTCTGCTTTTCTGTCTCACTCCAGGGTCGGTACTAAGTCGCTTTACGCTGGCCTTACAAGCCGACAATGTTCACTTTTTTCGTTCATTGGTAGCTTTTTCAGGCTACCAGCAAATCAGTTATATGAGTCTGTAAATATGAGAAAAATGAGTTATGTAGTCGATTGTCATAGCAAATATATTTTCGTATTTGAGTAGAGTTTCGAGACTACCAGTAGATCAGTAGTATGAGATGTATTCACCCTATTTCATCTCAGGTGATGAAGGACTGGTAGTAGAATTTTCCCACAATGATATGAGTAGAGAAGACGTTTTCATTGAATTTCACATCGCCTTGCTTTCCCAAACGTTGTTTTCATCCCGGCCGGAGTGGACTGCAGTTTCGGCCTCGCATCGGTCTTATCAACACCCTCAGCGGGAGTCGAACCGTGACAGTGCAGGATGGGAGCTTGACATGTTAACCACTCGGCTACACTGCCACGAGTACCCTTGAGTCACAGAGCATAAGTGCA